CATGCTTGTGTTTTCAAGGAACTCCAGGAGGCCAATATGGCTGAGCCGGCAGGAAGACAAGTGGTAAGTCAGAGTAAATGAAGCCGAAGATCTCAAGTCTCTGTGAGAGAAATGGGAATCCACTGCATGGTTTTGAGCAAAAGGTCTGACTTAAATGTTTTTAAAAGAGACAGAGAGAGTGTGTGAGCCAGAGGAGGGGCAGAGGGTGAGGGAGAGAGAGAATCCCAAGCAGACTCCCCGCTGAGCACAGAGCCAGCCATGGGACTTGATCCTGGACATCATGACCTGAGCCAAAAATCAAAGTCAGCCTCTTCACCGACTGAGCCACCTAGGTGTCCCCTGACTTATATTTTAAAAGAAGAGCTTAGGCAGCTGGGGTGATGATGGGATGTAGAGGGCAGGTGTGAAACCAGGGCACCAGGCTGGAGCTGATGGTGGCTCAGAACAAGAAGGGTGGCCATAAGAGAGGGCAAAGTGGTCAGTCTAGATTTTGAGGGCAAGGTCAACAAGATTCTGCACATGAGGTGTGAGAGAAAGAGAGGGTCAAGGATGACTCCAAGGTCATCCTCCGGACAGAGTTGCCTTCAACAAAACAGGTTTGGGTGGGGCCACAAGGAGTTTGGCTCTGGACATGTTGCATCACCCTGCAATAAGGGGCTTCTTTTCAAAAACTAGTCTCATCATGCCTGGTTCATCCTTATGTTTTCCGTCTTCCCTGGCCATAGAAAGATGGAATTCCTCAAGGCTTAGGACCCTACATGGGATCCCTCCACCTCTCTGGCCCCATATTTGTATCAGATTTCTCTTTAGGCTCATTCTTCCGGCCACACTGGTCTCTCTTCAGCTCCTTGAACATGGTTGCTCTTTCCAATCTCCAGCACAAGCTGATTCCCCTGCCTAGAGTGCCCAGCACCCTCCACTCCTGCTGCCCCCATTCTCCATCCCAGTTAAATCCTGCTCAAGCTTCAGATCTCAGCTTAGGCTTCTTTACTTTCAGGAAACCTTCAGGTCTCCCCCTGTGCCATGTCCTAATGTGCTACATTTGTTTCCTGTAATTTTGTAATTGTATGATTATTTGATTCATGGCCTTCCCGCTACACTGTAAGGTCCCAGGGGGCTTGGATTCACAGTCTGTTTTGCTCACCATGGTACTTCCAGTGCCTCACACAATATCTGGCATATAGTAAGTATTTTGTAAATGTCTGCTGAATGAATGAATGATGACTTATTACCCACCCACAAGAAAACATCAGCCTATACATTTATTCTCTTGCAGAGTCTTTGTATAATTCTAGCATAAGGAACACTGATCTAGAGAGAAACACCAAGGAAATAGCACATTATCATTTATAATCATTCAGAGTTCAATATGCTCATTCAGGAATCCAAGCCATGATGGATCCCTTTCCTGTAACATAGGGCCTTGCTCACCAGACTTCTGGTTCCCCTCAGATTTACATTGTCCAGCCCTTTGAAGACAGGCTAAGTCATGTGACTTGCTTTGGCCATTGAAACGTGAGCAAAAGTGATAGGCATCAACTCGAGGCAGAGGCATTTGAAAGCTGGTGTGCAACCCTGCAGGTCAGCCCGCCTGTATTAGTTTCCGGTGGCCGGCCGGAAGAGTGTATCACAACTGAGTGGCTTTTAACAACAGAAATTTATTCTCTCACAGTTCGGGAGGCTAAGTCCAAAATCAAGGTGTCAACAAGGCCATGCTTCCTCCGAGACCTCTAGGGAGGAATCTTTCTTGGACTCTTCCAGGTTCTGGGGCTTGCTGGCAATCCATGGATTTCCCTTGTCTTGTAGATGCATGACTCCAGTCTCTGCCCCTCTCTTCCCATGGCCGTCTTCGGTGTGTTTCCTCTGTGTCTCTGTGTCAAGGTCTCCCTCGCTGTTCTCTTAGAGGGATACCAGTTATTAGATTTGGGATTCCACCCTCGTCCAGGATGACCTTATCTTAAATTGATTACATCTGCAAAGATCCTACTTACAAACAAGGTCACACTCACAGGTACTGAGGGTTAGAACGTGAACATAGCTTTTGGCAGGGACGCAATGGAACCCGTTCTCCCCATGCAGCACATGCTGAGGTGGAGCCTTCATCAGCCTGGTTCCCTGGGTCACTGCAGTGAGACAGGTTTTTGCCTCCATGTTCACCTCAGTTCAGTTCCATGATGTCCCCTGAGTTAGAGTGGTGATTTATCCCTATAGCTATCTGATGACTACATTTCACTGAGTCATGCAAATTAAATGTGCCTGTGCTGTATATCTTTTTCCTGTGACCTGTTTTCCAGACTGTCTTCCATAGAATATATTCCTGTTGATCATTAGTTACTGAGTGCCTGCCATATGCCTATCATTGTGCTATGTGCCAAGAGGGATGTGCGGGAAATTAGACACAAGGAGCCCAATTATCAGGAATATATAATCTAATCTGGTGGACAAAACAGAAAAAAAAATATCAGTGTTGGCTGAAATTATCAGAGGACACCAAATAATATGACTTAATAAGAGGGAATGCTAACAGGACTTCTGGTGCGTTCTAGGTTCTATGGTAAGCACTTTGCAGGCGTTACATTCTTTCATCCACGGGGAGGTTGTAACCCATTGGGTTGGTATTTTGTATCTGTTTTACAAGTGAGGAAACAAGCTTAGAAAGGCTTAAGCAGCTTGCCCAATGGTCATTCAGTATTCTAATCCAGGTTGGTCTGATTCACAAATTTGGGGTCCTATGGACTTTACTGACTTTCAATTCAGTTCAGTCTTAATAGCCTGCTAGTATATGATGGTCTACACTTGAGCGACGCCAAGGTTGGTTCTTCTTATGCAATTATCCCTGGGCTGAACTTACCATGTGGCAATATCAACAGTTTGCAGTGATAAATAGAATAAAATAGTTAAGCCACTCTTCAATTTCGATCTCAGCGTTGTTAAAGTGGCCTTCCCACCTGATTTCTATGAACTAATCCAAACTCAACCTTTCATCTTTGCCTTTATAAGATGGAACTTTGAGACTTTAATTCTCTAAGCTGGACATGGATGCAAAGATTTGTCCTATCGGGGCCATCATTTCTCCTCTAAAGCATTAAAAACAATTAAAAGGAACAACATGATCAAAAGAAACAACATGAAACCAACCAACCCTATTTTTAAGTGTTTCCAACCTTGTTTCAAAACAGCCTTATGAGGACTGTTTTCCCAACAGCCATGTATGAAGCCATCCACTTTTGAAATCTGATTTTCCTGTGTAGACATAACCTGTTTTCTATGCTTGGAGAAGCAGGGAATACCCAGGCTGGCACTCAGTCGTAGCAAATATGAAATAGACCATTTTTTAAAAAATTGTAGGAATGTTAAAATCCATGTTGACTGGTTTTTACATTTACCCGGCAACATTCCCATGCTAGCGTTGGCATGGAGACTGGAAAAGGAAACTTTCCACCAATCTGTCACTTGCTACTGTTTCCACTTATTTTACTGTGAGTCCAATTTTAACAATTTTTAACATTAAAACAAGTTTAATTCTTTTTTGTTTTGTTTTGTTTCAGGACGTCTCTCAAACATAAAAACACAGGCAAAAAGAAAGATTTTAAAACAGTCAAAAATTTGGTTTTCCAAATATTCAGCTGTTTAACATTCAGATAATTGCCTTCCTTTTTTTTTTTCCACATTTAGTCTGAATGCTTTGGCATGGGGAACCCCACCGTCTGAAAGTAACTTTGTCTCAACTCTACTCACTGCGTTTGTTTGTTTGTTTGTTTGTTTATTTATTTATTTATTTATTTATTTATTTATTTATTTTTCACTGCGTTTATTAAAGAGGCTGAAAGATGCATCTGCTTTTCAACAGTTTCTGGTCCTTGAGGGACCAGACAAAGCCAGAGGTTCTGACAATTCAGAAACAAAGTTGGGTTTCCCAAAACTTCGGCGCAAGCAAGGTTGGCAGTGGTCACAGCGAGGTATTCATGAAATCGTTTTCGTTGAAGAAAACAAGCTGTGATTCTTGGAACTAGGTTTGGGTCAGAGATGGAAGGTAATGTGTCACTCGTTCTCTCATGAGTAGCCTAGAGCCCAGTAGGCGCTCAAGTCATGTTTACCTGAATGAATTCATCACAGCGATGCTACATGGCATCTTCCAAGAAGGAAGGGTGATTTTCCTAGGCTGGAAAGTAAAAGAAGAAAGAGCTGCCTACCTACAGTTCAGGGGGCCTCAGCCTGGCGGCCCCGAACCAGGCGTTCTCATTTCCCCTTGGCATCATCCTGAACTGCTCTGCCTGAAGCTGGCGCGGTGTTACAGAAGGGAGGAAAGGCATGTGGGGAAAATCAGAGAGGAGAGGGTCGGGAACAGATGTGAGCATAAAGGGAAAGCATTAGAAATGAAAGAAAGAAATTGGACTCCCACAGCTGGAAGGACAAACCCCACCATGTCGTCAGGGATGTGGGATTAGGGGTGATTTTGCTTGCCCTTTGTTCTTCTTTCCTGTCTTCCACGTTTCCCGGTTTATTTGTTTGATGTGTGTCTTTTCTGTTCGGTTATTGGACCATGAGGCCAGACCCCAGTGGCCAGTACCTGGCATGCAGCAGGCGCCCTGCGAAGACCTGCTGAACAAATGAACGGGTTCGGAGTCTCCCGTCCCTCCCCTCCCCGCTCCCCCGGGTGTCTAACCGCCCCGCACGTAGTAGGCGCTCCCTAAACATCTGCACGGCAAATGAGCTGCAAGTTTTCGGCGCCCAGCACGTGGAGCTTTGGAAACCAGGACAGTGAGCGAGCGTGTCTCAGACCACAAAGCGGCTGGGGCGCGTGCGAGAGGCTGCGGCGGGCGGAGGCGGGAGGCGGGAGGCGAGGCGCGGGCCGGGAGCGGGGCGCCCCGCGGGGGGCGCTGCCTGCGTGGCGCCCGGGGCGGGGGCGCGGGGAGCCGCGCGCCGGCACGTGCTCCTCCCGGGGCCGCCGGGCCGGGGTGGGCGCGCGTGTGCGCGTGGGGGTGTGGGGTGTGTGCCCGCGCCGTGCCCCCCGCGCGTGCTGCCGGGCGGACGCCGGCGTGAGTCACAGCGGGGCTCGCCTTTATAACGGCCCGGAGGCTCGCGCCAGCCGCCCGCCAGTCCGCCCTCCGGCCGCTCCGCGCTCCAGCGAGCGCGCCCCGGCCCCGCGCCCCCAACGGCCCCCAACCGCCGCGCAGTCCCGAGGGCGCCATGAGGGGCCCGCGCTGCGCCCAGCTGCTGCTCCTGCTGCTGCTGCCGCCGCTGCTGCTCACGCCCCCCGCCGGGGACGCCGCAGTCATCACCGGGGTAAGCGGCCCCCGGCGCACCTGTCCGCCCGGGATGCGCGCCCGCGCTGCGCCCTGGGGGCTCTGGCGGGGGGTGGGGAGCGGCTCCGGGAGGGTCGCCCCGGGCGGGGACACCTGCCCCAGTCGCCCTTTGGCGCTCTGGGAGAGGTGCCCTGCTCCAAAAGCAGCGGACGGCCCGGGACCCTGGGCGCGCCGTGGAAGAAAAAGTGACCGAAGTGTCACCGGCCTCCTTTTTCACCACCTTTCCCCCCTTGCTTCCCTCTTAGACCCCTGCAAGCTCTCTCCTCGAGTTTGGTCTGTTTTTCTGTTAAGCTGAAAGAAGTTTGCTTTCAGAGTCTTCTCTAGCACTTCCTCGAGGCGTTCCAACCTCGAACCTTAAAATTTGGGAGACCCTTTCTGAAATGCATAGGGGCAAGACGAATATCCCCCAATCCTGAGACTTAATCCTCTGGTCAAGGAGTTTGCTCCCCTTGTACCCTCCGCAGAAACCCCTTGAAATAACTTGGTCCGAGGCCCTGTGTGCGTTTTGAAAAGCAGTGTGGGCGCTTCCTTCTGGTTTCCAGGGCTTTTTTTTTCTTCAGCTTCTTGAGGTTTTCCTTTTAAAAGTTTTCCATTTCCAGTTCCTGATAAAACACCTCCAGTGTTCGGGCATAATTATGGAGTAGGTTACAATGTAGATGTTTGTTTGAACTTAGAGAAGTTGTCCTCATCATTTTTGAAAGTAGGAACTGAGTCCATTCTCTCCTACTCCCACCAACAATTTTGTGTGTGTGGATCTGAAGGATGAGTTTACAGTAGTCTACATCAACAGTGCAAAATCCCTACCATTTCCTGGTTGCTCATCTGCTTTACTCTTTTATCTTTTTTTTTAAATCTTAAATTATTTTACACATCCATTAAATTACTTCAATTATCTAAGGCACACTATGGGATTTTAAATAAGACTTATATGTTTGAACTGATGATACATAATGACATACTGAAATTTGAGGGAAATCTGTCCTTGTCTTGAGAAAACAAAGCTCCATAGTCTCAAGTTAGTTCATAGGTTTATAGCATCTTGAAAGCCCTTGTACAGTAACAGTATTTGGTTATATCCAATAGGTATTATAAGCATTGTGGTGTTTATAAAATAGAGGTTTTTTAAAAGTGTCTTTGAATAGCTTTGTCAGTCAGTGTGGTTGAAAAAAAAAACTTTTTACAGGTCTTTCTAATATATGAGTTGGAACATGATTGGGTTTTTTCCCCCCTCTTCCCCTGCTGGCTCATTTTAAATTTCTCCTAATCCTCTGAGCCCAGAATTCTTTTGCAATATAAGTATCTTTTTGTTCCATTCACAGGACAACACTATTTGAATAGATCTGCAATGGGTTAAGGATGAAGGGCATTAGGAAACAGCGGTCTAATTAAATATATATCAGCCTATGCATTTTTTTGTAAATATTTCCAAGAAGTGATGCTTTTTGTTACAAAAATGAAATTTTATCACATGGGGTGTTTATCTGTTGGAGAGGCTTAGAGTGGACTTCTCTATGCTGTTTTTGTTGTTTTAACTCAGTATTACCAAAAGAGAATTTTTAAAAATTTCTCTAAGCAATGTAGCAATAAAGAAATGTAGTTATGTTTTCATGACAGGAACCATCTGGAGCCAAATGAAAAACTTGGTAACTTACTGTCTTCAGGATGTTAAACATCCAAGTGAATGACTGAATTTTTGGAAGATTTTGGCTGGATTTTGATATTCTTTTAAAAAGGGTTAGTGGGGTTTCAGAATTCCAGGTCTTGAGTATCTGTTGACAGAAAATACTGCCTGAAACCTCCACCTTTAATATTTATTTTTTATTTTTTTGGTAATAGGTGTAGTTATTTTGAAATTGATTTATGTTCCACATAGATTTGTTAAAACCATATTGGAAAAGATCATGTACAGAACCTCTCATTTATGAAATGTCATGGCCACGTATACATGATTTCTGGCATACAGCTAAAAATTGAAAAATTGAAATGTTTGGATGTTTTCCTCTGAATGTCCTAACGCCCCAAGGTGAAAATTGTATTTTTTTCAAATTGTATGTTTTTGTCCATATAGTTGTTTTAAATAGACTGGGAAAAAAACTCTAATGAGGGAAATAAACCAACTCTAAAGCAGGATGGTTGGTAATTTTTACCAAAAAAGCAGTGAATAAGGGTGTGCCCATATATTTATGTTTTGAGAACTTGTGGCTAGGCCCAAAACTTTGAAGGAGAAAAACGTGGAAGGAGTGTTTTAGTTGTTTCCAATAAATGTAAAAAATTTAAATTTTTGTCTAAATTATAGACTTTTTAGTTTCTTACATATATAGTACAGCATGTTTTTACCTCATCGCTAGCAAAACAGAGTATTACACACCATTCAAACAAAGCATTCTATTTTTTGTTGGCTCTAGGGAGGAACAATTGTTCTTCAGATCTATTTTTATGCAAATAAATTTAGACTGCATTATTTATTGCTATTTAGATAGAGTCTGAAAACTCCATAGTTGATTCTTTAATTATTTGTATTTACAATTTTTATATTGGGAACAGATGCCTTGAGTAATCATTGTTGATAATTGCATCTGTCATTTGCATTTCTAAATCTGATTAATCTTAAAGAATAGTTCAACTGATTTTGTAATGTACACATGTGCATACCCTAAGCCAATAATTTCCTTTTTGCAGGTTACTCACCCGGAAAAAAAAAAAAAAAACAGTAACCTAAGACAAAAGTCTTGGTTTGTCCACTCCCAACCTATGAAATTTCTTTTTTTAAAGAGGAAATGTGAAAATCAAGCCAGTGGTTTGAGAAACATCAAGTCTCAGGAACCAAAATGCAAATATTTGAAAGGGAAAATGAGCACTTTTAAAATTTACATCATTGCCTTTATGGGTCTGGAGCATTTCATGCCAGATTTAGAGACCATTTAAATCCCTTTTTAAAATTGGGCCCAATGTATTCTGCCATTAATAGTCATAAAATCTTGTGATTCAATTTATGTAGTTCCTAATGGTCATGTATAGTATAAGACTAATGCAGACTCGTTTTTCAAATTCAAAGCCAACTCAGCCACAAAACACTAGAAAAAGAGGTGATTTTCTGTGTGTGTTTATTTAAGATTTTCATAACGTGTGGGCCATTCTTTAGGCCATTTTTTTTTAAACTAGGAAAATCTCTTCTGTTCAGATTTTATGGTAAATATGTGCAAGCAAATGAAGATTACAGTTCTTTTTTATATGTATGATTATTAAAATCCTAGTGGTTGGAGATGTAAAGAGCATTTTTACTGCTAATTTTAGATTTCCTTAGCCCGAGTCTTCCCCGCCATCTATATTTATCTGTTTGTTTGTTACATTTCAGGCCTGCGACAAGGACCCCCAGTGTGGTGGAGGCATGTGCTGTGCTGTTAGTATCTGGGTCAAGAGCATAAGGATTTGCACACCTATGGGCAAAGTGGGAGACAGCTGCCATCCGCTGACTCGTAAAGTTAGTATATATATTTGTATTCATGGTGGTTCTCTTATGTTGCGGTAATTCAACTCCAAGCAAGGCCTGTATGACAGGAAACCCAGGCTAATGTGCTTGAAATTATAAGTTGGAGAGGATGACAATGGAAAACTACCTCCTCCCCCGCTCCCCTCCCGTTTTAAAGAACTGGATCCTCTACCATCCTTATTTTAGTGAATCATTTTCATATCCTTGCTCTCATGACATTAGAAACATCTCAGAAAAATAATTTCAAACACATGAATTTGCCTAAAAATGATTTAGGACAAAAATATATGTGTGTGGTACAGTGTATACTTCTTTGCAGCAATCGGAGTATGGAAGTTCTTGAGAAGACTCTTAATATCAGACCCACTGATAAGGCAGAAGTAGATAACTTTGTGGTTTGTTTCTTGCACAAGATCATCAATGATACTGTTATCCTTGTATCTTAATTTAAAAGTCCTTTATTTTCACTTCATCTACACAATACACTTCATAACCATAGAGGTTAATGATATTTAATTTTCCAATTTATTCAGTTACCTAACAGTTCAGTGTCCCTAAACAGCACTTTTGAACAGTTTTGGCAATAAGTGGCATGACCTTATGTTGGCAGGATCGGATGGCACTTTTGAGGTTGTGTGGCAGAGGCTCCTGTGTGCAAGGGCCAGTCAGCGACATGACTCAGGAAGGTGGGGTGGGTTAGAGGCAGGAGGGAGCAGAAAAATGTGTGGAGCTTGGAGAGTCTTGGCCCTTCTGAATCAAAACTTAAAATGGTGGGATCTCAGTAAGATGCCCCAGGGACCCAGGTGGCAGTGCCTTGCTCCCTTAGCGCCACCTACTGGTTTTACCCAGCAGCAAAGGGAAGCCCCAGGGCCATGGAAGGCGCGGTCCCAGGCCAGGTGGCTTGTTGGAGGCAGAGCTCAGTCTGTCTGCAGCATTCTCTCCCATTTGAAATAGATGGAATGTTTTCCAAGTAATCTACCTTCTGGACTCTGCCTTCTACCTTTTCTTCTTCTCCACATGTGGTTTAGGGTTGAAAGCTGTAGTAAAGCCCAACATCTTCCCTGTCCTCGACAGTTGCAGATGACAGTTAACTGTTTTGACTTTTCTCCGAGTGAGGGTAGTGAAATAAATGGGCTTATGTTCAGCTCTGTGAGCTTTCATAGGGACTCCACTTGTTTGGGTCGCTCTGAAGAGAGTTTGGCTTTCCTGTGGTTTCCTTGAGAAATAACTTCCTGTTCCGTTTAGACCATCCCTCCCCATGGCTTCACTGTCATTGTCACACGTGACACATACCTTTTATTCTTGGCCACTTTAAGATAGGAAAGGTTGTAAACCGTTAGCGGTCTGCCTCAATGCCAAGCTCCCAGTGAGGAGGTGACACCAGCCCAGCCACCTTTGGCACTGATGTCACTTTTGTCATCAAGTGCAAGCCAACTTTTGTACATTTGAGCCACTGTGCTTGAAAAAGTTTGCTCTTAACCTTTTCTTTTAAGAATAGTGTTGTTTTTGTGCAGTGTTAGTATACCCTTACACACCCTGCATACCAGAATTGTGCAGCCTGACATGTTCTGTGCAACTGTTCTTTGTCATCATAGCAAGGCACAGTTGCCCCTTGGTGAGGGCTGTGACATCCCAGACCCCCTGTACTAAATGTTGGATATGAGTTTCTCATTTCACACAACAAGCCCGTGAAGCACATTTGTTTCCAGCACCTTCTGCATACAACCACAGTAAGCCCCAGAGGGACTCAGTGACTGGCTGGGGTCACCAGGTGAGAGGGCACGCAGCAGCATGGGACTTCATGTCTGTGTGACGCTCTGTTGGTTGTGTGGTGTTAATCACCATACTCTTCTGCCACCGTGAAAGTGGGTTCGTCTGCTCGGGTTAACCAAAACTGGTTTGTGTGGGATGAGAGATAACGGTCCCTCCTGGGAATATGTCACATCCTGTAGTTCTGATGAGTTTTCCAAATCTGAGGTATTTTAATAAGAGAACCAAATTCTCTTTCCCCGGGTGCCTGGATAACTTCCAGTTCAGGTGTATGTAGTGTAAGGTCATTTCTGAGAGTAAACAAAATCATTCTTCTCCCGGAAACCCAGGTACATCTCTACGTCTTTGTTTTTAATCACAGTTGTAATAATGAAGTCTTTAATATTAAGTTATGGTTTTCATAGTAGAATGAAGTGATTAAAGAACTAAAGAACTAAAAAAATAAATAAAGGTTTTATGTCAGATCTTAACTTTCCCCCCATTCAGATGCCCACTTGAAAAGTGTTTCTAGAACTCAGTTTTACAACTTTTGCCACTGGATACTTTTCTGTCTCGAAAATACATTTTCCTATGTCACTTCTATTTTTAAAGTAGGTCCCGGAGTTGTTACTTGTTCTGGGTGAAATTAACTTATCCTGGTAAAAATCTAGTTACTTCCAGATTATCTCTCTACTATGTTCTATTCAAAACAATTTGAGAATAAAAACTTTTTGTAAATGCATCCTGGTGAATGTAATATACAGTATTCAACTTCAAACTACAGTTTAATGGCTCATCAGTAAATGGTAAAAGTGTAGACACTGCATTGAAAATTCTATTTCAATAGATATGTTCTTTCCTTTTTCTTCCTTTTTTTTTTTTAAAGGGGGGATTAACTGGTTGTGGTTACAGGGATTGGTGTTTTAAAAACACAAGACTATGAATAAGTGAAGACTACACCTGTTTAAATTTTAAACTTTCCATTCTGGCTTGACTTAGTCATAACCGCAAATGTCTGTTTATTTTGATAAAGTGAGTAATAGTTGATGAATGGAATTGCAAACTACAGGTAGGAATTGATAGTCACAGATTGCTATTTTATTTCAGATACATCAACTAATTTGTGGAGTTTACAGTGACTGCTACACTCTAATTTTAGAATTGTACAGTTTTTAACTTTACATTTGATGATTGAAAAGTAGAATAAAAAATCAGTTTACCTAAGAACAGGATGTATGTTTTCCAAACACATTTTTAGTCAAATAAAGGTTTTAACATGTATTCATTTTTAACAATTTTTTAACAGTTAGGGATGAATTACTGAATCGTATATCTATAAGGAATATTTTACTGTTTTAAAAAACCCACTATTTTGGTATTTCTATTAATACCTACACTTCTCAGAGTTTACAAAGATTAGCCATTTCCATCCCATTCTGATTGCTTCTTGGCTTTGGAAGTTTATAATTATGTAGTTAATACTTTTATTGCTTATCATTATATTTTTGTTTTCAATTTAAACAACTGTGTTTCCTCCCCCAAAATTGTTTTTGCTTCGCTTTTTATGTTAACATTTTTAGTATCAGTTTTACTTTTTGTTTTCTGGTGGTTTTTTTTTTTTTTTTAGCTACATTTTAAAACTTGACCAATACATTTTCCTTTTCTGAAAAAAAAATTAAAATTAAAACCTGGGACTTGTCTGTGTTAAAAAAAAGGATAATTTAAAAAATTTTTAGCAGTTTCTGTTTTAGAACCAACCTATGACATACTTTGTAAACATACTTTCAGGATAGAGTATAACTTTAAAAAATATTAACTAAAATATGACTAATATAACTTCAGAATTTAGTGGAAGATGGGTGGATGAAAGCCTAATATGTTAATTTCCTCATCTTTCCTATGACAGAGGTCAAGAGCTGCTATCTACATTTTCTCTCTCAGGACAGCATCCTCGCTGTGAATACAAGTTCGTTGTCAGAGAGACTCAGGGGACATAAATATACTTTAGTCGAATACAGAGTTTCTCAGCCAGGGCTCTGTTGACAGTATGGGGCTGATAGCTCTTTGTGGTGGGGACCATCCTGTGCATCATAGGATGTTTAGCAGCATCCCTGGCCTCTACCCACAAGATACCTGTAGTCTCCCTCTCTCGGTTGTGACAACCAGCCATGTCCCCAGACTATGACACGTGTCCCCTGTGATGGTCTGGGGGATGGACCTTGCCCTGGTTGAGTGCCACTGGCCGAACGCTCCACTTACTTCCCCTCACAGGACACAGTGTAGGAGATAAAGCAGCACCATTGCATTGGGAGCTCAGCAGCTACCCAAACACACAACATGGCTTGCCGTATCTTCCACACGGGGCACTTGTAGCTGCCCTAAATGAGAGCTAAAGTGTGTGTGGGGGGGGGTGGGTCCTCTTGACTCACAGAAGCCCACCACTACTTCTTACAAATATTTTGCACCCCTCTAGACCCAGAGGCCCAAGCCTGCACGCCAACAGCTTTCCCAACCCAACTCAAGTTCCACACAAGCCAGAGGCTGACCCCCCCATTCCCTGTTTTCCTCTACTCTTTGCAAGGATACAGAGCAGTGGGAGGCCAGAGCCCATGTTAACCCTCTCTAGCCACAAGAAGACAAATCATTGCATGATTTAGGGTTGTACGAATATATACTTATTCCAAAAAAAAAAATTTGAAGAAACATTTTAAGACTTGACCAAATTAAAATACATTGGCGATCTTCCTAATTATTAAAGCTGGAAACTGTGAGAGGGGGACAGGAACCGTGAGACTTTTAGTTTCTATTTTATGTGCTATTATGCTATTTGAAATTTTTTGAACTATGTACTTTTATTGACAAAAGTTATGGTAACAAAACTGGCTTTCTTTAAAATTGTCATTTTTTTATTGAGGTAAAATTGATATATAAATTATGTAAGTTTCAAGTATACAACATTATAATTTGACATCTGTCTGAACTACAAAGTTATGACCATCCATCACTATTCATTTGACCCCCTTCACTCATTTTGCCTACCCCAAACCTCCTTCCCACATGAGACCAGTGCTTTTTATGTGACATGACCAGGGTTTTCTTCGTGTATTCTTCTTTACATTTTCTTTAGCAAAAGTGGCTGTTTTGAGAGAAATTGCAAATGATACCTGTGTTTTGTATCAGTCCTATTTTCTCTTTAAAAGTGCCACAAATGGATAAGAATTGTACCTTGTGGAAAGTGCTACAGGTCCTACCTTGGTTACTTCTAGAATCTGCTTTTTGGAATTCTGGGCTTTTGGAAGTGTTGGATTGAGTTGATTCTAAAATAAACCATCAAGTTGGGACTGAATGGTTAGCTCCTGGGCTCTCTTTGTGCCTCTGAAGATGCATCTTCTGTATACTTTCTCATGTCTCTGGCTATTAGACACCTGTTAACTTTGCCACACAGTATGTGTAGAGCTAGGGGGTGCCTGTGTGACTCAGTCTGTTAAATGTCTGCCTTTGGCTCAGGTCATGATCCCAGGGTCCTGGGATGAAGCCCTGAGTCAGGCTTCCTGCTCAGTGGGGAGCCTGCTTCTCCCTCTCTCTCCTCCTCCCCCGTCCCCCTGCTTGTGCTCTCTCTCTCCCACTATCACTGTTGCTATCTCTGTCCCTCTCCCAAATAAATAAATAAAATCTTTAAAAAACAAAATATGTGTAGAGCTAGAAATGAAGGGGGGCACTGGAGAAATTGCCAAGTATCTATTAAGTGTATCACATCAGAAATGGTGTTCTTTGTCATTAGGGGCTCACAGATGGAAGGAGAGGAGGAAAACTGCTTATGAGCAGGTGCAGATAAAAAAGGCTTGGCAGGGGGAGAAACAGACCGGATCTTGAAAAAGGGGAGTGGGCTTGAGAAGAATAAGAAGAGAGCATGCAGGTATAAGGATCCCTGCAGGACAGTGTAATCATGATGTTAGGGTTGTTGGGACAGATCTGGGCTGAGGCCGATACTGCCTTGGCACCCTCCATAAGAAGAAGGATAATTCACAATATTTTTGAAGGATTCACAGAAACCTCTGACCTTGTGAGCTCATTGCAGGGCCCCATGTAGGCCCCGGAGGGAACTATACACAGGAAGGCCTTCTGCATCTTTGGCTTCACGTAAGTCCATCTCTGTGAGTTTGGTGGCATGAGTCACTTGGGGCCTGCTCAGTGCCGGGCAGTGGTGTGCAGAGTGAGGAGAAGCCACAGGACCTGGGAAGGCCACCCCTCTGCCTTCAGGCAGAGCACATCTGGGCGGGGGCGGGCATTGGCAGGAGATAGAGCAAAGTCTGGAAGAAAGTGGACTGGGTTTGATTATGGCAGGTTCCCTTTTAGCTGGGTGACTGCAGTTAGCCGTGTTACTTCACCTCAAGAGGAAGCCACTTAGCTTGTGTCAAAATAAGGCAAAAATGTGGCATACAGGTTTGGTGTGACGTTCATGTGCCATGCCTTATGAAGCCTGGGCATGGCAGGCCACCGCTCTTCTTTTTCTTTGCTCCTGTTTTCAAGGCACTAAGAAGGCACCTGACAGGCCAGAGAGCACCCGTGGTGTCTTGATGCACACGTCACAAGACTGCAAGCATCATGAGGGTGCTTCTTCACAGCTTTAGCTATCCTACTGCTTATCTGTCTTCTGTCATTAAAACTCCTGCTGCATGATGGGCCCAGGCCTTTCCTGTTTTGTTCATCACTGTATCTGTAGCACATAACATAAGGCCTGATATGTCAGTGACAGTAAACATCTGCTGAATGAGCGAATAAAGGAAACATGCTTGGTGTTGTCTGTGTATAACAGTTTGACATGTTCATTATAGTTATAGTTCACTTAGCTCAGGCTCCCTTACCTTGGATATCGCAGCCTCTGTTCTTTTTTCAGAACAGAGGCTGCGATATCCAGTCGGCACATTGGGCCCGCGAGTTCTTACTGTTGGGGGGTTATCCTGCTCACTGGAAGCTGCCTCGCTGCACCCCTGGCCCCCACCCCCTACTCACACTCCTTCCCCCAAGTTGTGACAAACAAAATGTCTCTGGATACTGCTGGATGTCCCCTCGGGGACAGAGTCACCCCCAGCTGGGGACCACCGGCCCATGCAGTAGTTTCAGGCATGGCCAAATGAAGCTCGCAAAGTCTCAGGGCTAGAGGAGATCCTACAGGTCAAGGGTTAGAACTCCTCATGCTGTCCGCTTGTGATTGTCTGAGCCAGGCAGCTGTACCCGCCTCCCCTGACGTGTTCTCAGTGCCAACAAATGAGCTAGCCATCCGCGTGCTGCCCTTTGACACACACAGTGACAGAACCATTCTGAGCACAAGTCTGCGTGGCGCCGACGGCTGTGGCACCTGCGGGCAGGCACTGTAATTAGAGCCTTGACAATAAGGCCCTTGGCAAAAGGCTGAGGAACCTGGGGTGGCTCTGCCTGTTCACCTGCGTATCAGTGCCCACCTGCTGCTTCCCTGTCTTCCTTTTGTATTTATTGATCTCAATCATTTCCCTGGCCCTTCCAGAACCATTTTGGAAATGGAAGGCAGGAAAGAAGAAAGAGGAAAAGAAGAAAGAGGAGGAAGGAGGTAAGAAGAACATGAGCATGGTACCCACCGAAAGATAATGCCCAGCATCGTGGGCCCTGGCCACTTTGGGACTACCATACAGATGGGTCTGTCCTCTTAGTTCAGTCCCTAAATAAGGTTAGAATGGTTCTGTCACTGTCTGCAGACAATTTTTTTTTTTTTAATGTACAGAGAAATTATTTAGAAGACATCTGGAAGATGCATCTCAGACTTTCTCATTAGGACAGATAACTGGTATGGGGCAGCCTGTTTTGGTGGCAGAGAATAGGAAGGAAATACACTAGAATGATAGCAAACAAAGCATCTCAGTTGAGAAACAGACAGGATGCATTTTTCTGCCCTGTGTAAACTGTGTAAGGATCCTCTAATAGCTTGCCTCTCTCACAGTACCCTGGGCCAGAGTAATTTGCCATCCCATTTCATTGACTATCAGTTGCCTCCAGGCCTGGGGTTAAACTTTCTCCCTATAACTTGCCAAGGAGGTGGATTCTTAAGAGGGCACCATTCCCAGGGGAGAGGGAATGAGTTTTGTTCTTTGCCTCTGGAACGTGTACGTATTTTGAGGGACTCCCCTGAAAGGCCCACCATGCCAGTTGCTGGTTGACCCTCCTCAACCCTTCTTCATTGGTGGCATGGGCAAGACTTAGAAATACCACTTGGATGACTCTTGGAATGAAGCCGACCTTTCTCTGCTGGCTCTCCCTAGGCCAGGGTTTAGTTTGTTCCTTTTCTGTGACTCAAGCTTGCCTCCTTCCCTAATTTCCCTTTTGTTCTTCCCCTATCCACACTCCCCAGAATTTTGACCCCTTCTGCCATCTGTGTGCAAACGTGTGAGTTTATATATTGCTCATTGTCAGTGACTTCATATTTTCTCATCACTGCGGTCATACCCTTAATGTCATGCCCTCCTTAAGGAGCTTCATTAGTAGGATGCTATAAAAAGAATTAAAATGAAGAAGTAAAAGGCAGTATAGCTTGGTGGTCAAAAGCTTTGTCTCTCTGGTCCAGCTGCCAGCCAAGCTTCAAGTTCTGGGTCTGTGAGCTTGGGCCAGTTGCTAATCTCTCTGTGTCTCGGTCTCTCACCTGTAAAATGGGTATAATGAAAGCATTTGTCATGTTCACAGAGCGGTTATGGGTTGAAGAAGGATAATAAAATGCCAAGTGTATTGCTTGATGAAGAGTTAACACTCAGTATAACACTAGCTGTTCTTATTCAAAGACATTTCTCAAGAATAGTTTTTTGTTTATGTTTTTTTAACATTTCCTGCTCTGATTCAGTTTTCTTCTTTTATCTTAGGTTCCATTTTTTGGGCGGAGAATGCATCACACATGTCCATGTATGCCGGGCTTAGCCTGTTTACGGACTTCATTTAATCGATTTATTTGTTTAGCCCGAAAGTAATCACTTGAGAGTAGAAACTTTAAATGTGAACAGCCACATGATGTCTGTAAAGTCTATTTACTTGTGATTGTGCCAAACAAATAATATGCCAGAAAGAAATGCTGTTGCTTTCTCAACTATCCAAGTAACATTTCTATCTTTGATGTTTAAATGACTTTTTTTTTTTTAATTGAAAGAGGATTTTAATTTTGGATACGAATGTAAAGTGCAGGGCATTATGGAACCGGTTCTCATTTCCCTGTTTGTGTTTTGGTTTGGCTTGGCTCTTTTAATGCCAATAACTCACCCATTTTCACAAAAATGAGGAGAATAAGAATTTGTTACTTTGTCACGGAAACTTTTTTTTCTCAAACCACCCCTCCCCCCAGCCCTGCCCACCACACACACACACACACACACACACACACACACACACACACACCCTAAGGTCTCTTTTCTCTCCTCAAAGAATTTTAAGGCTCTCACTTTATTTTTCACCATTTCCCTCACCAGTCCTTTTGCATTTTAAAGTGGGGGGCGGGGTTATCGATCTCCTCTAATTTGCTGGCAGAATTACTGTTGAGAATCAAGCTTTTTGCCTGATACTTAAACAGTGAACGGTGTGTAGTTGAACTAGACACTCCAGACTTCTCCTAGATGGAGTAGAGGTTGGGGTGCTTCCAAACTTTCACGGAACCTGTGCCTTCAGGTTGGCTGTGTGACAGGTTTGAGTGAGTCCAGAGGGAATGGAAAGTCAATTTGGTCCTTATTTCTAGATTTGGGTTGGTTTAAAAAAAAAAAAAAACACTTCCCCAATACAACAGTACATTTGTTTCTCTTTCTTTTTATGAAGTTTATTTCTTTTTTAAGTCTCACAGTTAGAGATGGTCCAGAAAATGTCACTTGAAGAGGAAGTATTGATTTTATTCTGGCATAACCCTTGTTACCATTTTAAAATCGGTATTAAGTTGTAATTTAAGCTTCATTTGTAACCAGAAGTTCTCTTATAATGGGTTACCTGACATCTGCCATGTGTACCTATATCAATATTGCTGTGTAAAAATTCTGTATCAGAATAATGACAGTATTGTATATCATTTGATTTATTTTAATATTATATCCTTATTTTTGTCACAGTTGTCGTCAGTTTTTATTACAAGCAGATTTCTATTAGCTCATATTCTAAAATGGGCAAAGACCCCAACGTTGGTCAGATAGCACTCACAGGATGTGCTTGTGTTCACTTTACATACAGGAAAATTCTGTTTGCATGAATTTTAAGGTCATACAAAAAACAATGTGTAAATCAGTGAGGTTTTGGAACATGAAGGAAGATTGTGACGTGCAAAACTGGCTGTAATCAGGAATGGACTCCTGGGATGTCACTGTATTGATTCAGCAAATCATGATCCAGTGTTCATCACGAGTGGTTAGGCAGGAGGCTAGGTGCTAGCCGAACGGTGATGAGAAACCTTGAAAAACCCCTCCAAGTATTGTAAATGGAATCAACGTCGCAAATAAACAACTTATGAAATGTGTTTAACTGACTAAACTTGACCATGCCAACCCACTAACCATTGCAAAAAAAAAAAGAAAGAAAGAAAAATTTGTCCATTTTGTAGTTATTTATTCAGCCAAGGCTTACAGTTGCACGTTATATATAACTTTACCCTAGGGGCTAACGTGTCCTGTAAATGTATGGGATTTTGCTGTACTCATTACCATACCTGGGCATAGAAGTATTATTTTTGGTTCAATTTCATTTGTGTGCAAGAAGCATTCCTCAGTGAGTCTGTTGGAAAAAAAACATCGACTTCAACAAGTGGAATTATGGGCAAAGAAACGCACCACAGAGTTTTGCTAAATGTCGCTTTCATATAATGGTTGAGACACCCTTTTTCAAAAGTTGTAAACACTTGATTGGGTCAATCATCCATTTTCCCCCAAGTTAAAAAACATCAAACAAACTTTTATAAAATTTTAGTTTTACATATACCAACTTATTAAAAAAAAAATCACTACAAAGAGGTAGACTGTAGTCTAGAGAAGGAAGGTAGAGTGTGTGTGGGAAACTCAGAACCGTGTCTCCTGACTTGCTCACTGCCATTCAGAGAAAAACAGAACTTTATCATTTGGTACCTCTCCCCTGGGTTATTATTTTTATTGGGGAATAACTCCTTTTTAGTGTACAGCTTTATTTGGTTAGTTTTTTTCTTTTTTTAGCTTGTCACCAAAGTTAGCACTTTTCACATAATTGTTTCAAAAAACTTATAATCATGTTCCATGGAGATTCTTTAAGATAATTGTATGCAAAGCTCACAAAGTCTTGCACTATAAAGACTGTGGTACTGTTTCTTCCCATCCCCAGGATGCTCTCTCACCGAAGGTGGCCAGACTTCATAGGCCAGAATGTCTGCAAGGTAAGGCAAAGTGAGAATTTACACAAGAAAAAGTTAAAGTCAGCAACCTACTTTGATGTAAATATTGGGAATGGATTCTATCCATTCTAAGAGAGAAATAGATCTCAGGCCAGCACCTACTGGCCAAACTCAAGTGGATATTTGGATTTCTTTGCAAACACAGACTTTCATGAAAACTATCATTTCTGACTTCAACCTCTTTTTTTTTAAGCATCTCTTTTTTTTTTAACCATGGAAAGTTTGTGCTAAAACTATTTCCTTACAGACCCTCTTATCTAACTGAAGACCTTCATCCTTCCCAGCGTTTCGGTGTTGTTCTGTGGTTGGAGCTCTACAAAGTCAGTCCAGGGAGAGATCACACACGTAAGCCAATTTTCTTCTTCATTGGTTTTAAGATCAGAAATTTCATCCCACTCAGAATTTCCTAACTTCAATTTTTGAGAAGATTAAAGCTGGGGACGATTTTAAAAGCAGGACATTTTTGGTGTTCAGTGAGGATCCCTGTTTAAAAATTCATTGACAACCTTTTCTGATCTTTCTGTTTTAACACATGGCCATGTATTTCAGGTAATATCATCAGAATTAATATTTCTTTGGTTCTTCCACATCTTGCCTCTGGTTTGTTAATGGTCAGTGTTCCCTTCTGCACAAAGGAGAACCATTTTCCTTCTAGTATCTTTAACAACATAATCCTTAGGTAAATTTATTACCCCCCCAACCCCCACCCCCTGCCGCAAATCAGAGCACTTTCAGAACACACATCTCCCAAAACTAGAGGTGTCATTAATATGCTGTTCTGGAAGTACTGCTCCTGTTTTTTCCCATCATCCATCACTCTCGGAGATTGTAGGCTTAGTTCATCTAGGGCGAGGCTGGAGTGTTAGAATTTTTTTTTTTTTTTTTTTGTAACTACTTATTTTATTCTAAGGTGCACCCATGTTTGAGAGCCACTGAGAAAGAATAAAGGAATATGCTTCTATAGGAAAGCTGCTGCTTCCCTGGGACACCCCTTGGCAAGACACCTTTCTAGTTAGATTAGAAGTGGGGAGAGTAGCTGTCTGCCTTTTCTTGCCACCCTCAGAAGTTCCTATGATCCTTAAGCAGAAATGAATCTGTTTGGGGGATTTTTTTTCCCCACCACAGTTTCTAGAAGGATAGTCACAGAAGGGTCCCATGTGAGAGTTTTAACCACAGTTCCATAGCTCATTTGAGAAGTCTATTCAAAGTTCCTTGGAATTAGGTTAGGGGAGCAGGACCTAGCTTGTCCCTGGGCTCTTGCGCTAGCCCTGAGGCAGGGCGTGGAGCCAGGGGGCTTTCTTCCTCCAGGGGAACCCTCCCAGGTGACAGTTTTCCAAACTGCCCCCTCTGCCAGCCCCACTTTCCCATATATCTCCAGATTTCATTCTATTTTACTGGGCCCATAAATCATCCAAAGGCTCTACAAAGTCCAATGTTGCAGCAAATTGTAACTGAATAGCTCACACTAGAAAGCATTTAAATAAAACCTATATATGCCACAAGAGAGTAGAAGCCAGAAGGTGGGAAATCATTGTGTGATCATGATTTCTAACGATAAAAGGCATGGTCTCATCTTATCATGTACATACACGGTACGCACCCTGGTGTCCACGGTGGACTTCAGCCTTATGGGGAAGCCTGGGGCCCCTACGCATGCATGAGTTGTGCCAGCCAGGCAAAACCATGGCCTGCCCCCTGGAACGGCAGCTGTGGGGGATGTTTCCAGGCATTCACTCACTTTAATCAAGGATTTCTCAACACCGACACTCCAGATATTCGGGGCCAGGCCATTTTTTGTTGTGAGGGATGGTCCTGTGTTTTATAGGCTGTTGAGTAGCTGCCCTAGATCCAGTAGTTCCCCTGAGCTCTCACACCCAAACATGTCTCTAGACCAAGCGAATGGGTAGGGGTAGATTGTCCCCCTGCGAGAGCCACTGGTTTAGTCTGAAAATACTTTCTGTCTGTATAAATTCTGTTTCAGGATCAAACAAAATTTGAGATGACAGTATTAAAAGAAAAGTTAAACCTTCAAATGGGGCTCTACAAAACAGGTATTCTGAAAATAAGAAATTATCATTCGAATTCAAAGTTGTGAAAAGGTAAACATCAGATCCATTTTAATAGCCAACCAAAGAGTTGTCAGTTGTACATCAGCTCTATAGTTTCCGGTTTCAAGTAAGCCATTTTTTTATGAGCCTCTCTTTAAAGCTTAAGACAAAGGGCTCAGATAAAATAACCTCAGTCGCAGATGAAAGATTTCACAGCTTTAGAGTGCACTTTGGAGTAAATTTCCACATTGTTTAAATCCAGATTTTCACCATCTTGATTAAACTGTGATATAATTTATGAAAAACGTTTGTGTTGCTGAAACTCAAAAGCTAACAAGAAAAATTTGGAGAAGACTGTGTTTTTGTATTAAGTTAGATTTGAATAGCAATTGAGAAGCTTCCCAAATTGAGTTTTCTCAGTGCAACTGGGAATGGACCTGTTCCCTATAGGCAGGGCTGAGGCTGGCTTGAGTGTATGTGGCTCATCCCGGCAAAACAAAAACTTTTTATTATGGAAATTTGTAAACATAAAAGTAAGCAAAATTTTATAAGACAGCCTCCATAGATTCATCTCTGGTATCTTAACAACAGTTCCCATCTCAATGCCAACTTTGCTCCACCACCCCTCCCCCCAGGACCTCCGACTCTCCTGTGTTGTCTTGAAGCACATCAGTTTGGTTCCTGATAGATAAAGACAGCCACAGTCTTGTGTGTTACCAATGGTAGCAATCCTTTTTCTTTTCATGGCCCCTCTCTGCTTGGATCTTGCTAAGCTCCTTTCACTGACCAGCCTGTGCCCTGAAATATTTACTCTTGAGATGTATTTTTGAAATCCCAAGTTGGAGTTCAAAATGGAGGAGCAAAATATTTCAGGCCCAGAAAGTGACTATATGAAAGAATATTTGCTCCTGTATAAAATTTTAAAAGAAAATA